CCCCCCCCCTGACCCCTCCCCCCGTCTCTGGCCCCTCCCCCAGGTTGTCCGTGTGTCCGACGGTCGCCCCTTCGCCCTCAAGCGCTCGCTCCGCCCCCTCTCTGGCCCCGCCCAGCGCCGCCATTGGCTGCGCGAGGTCTCCGCCCACCTGGGGGCGGGGCCTCACCCCCACCTGCTGCCCCTGGAGGGGGCGTGGCTCGAGCGGGGGAGGCTCCACCTCCTGACCCCGCCCTGCCCGGGCGGCTCCCTGGGCGACCAATGGCGGAAGGGGGGCGGGGCCTCCCGAACGGACGAGGCCTCCCCATTGGCTGAGCGGCACCGAGGGGGCGTGGTCTCCTCTCTGACCCGCTCCCTATTGGCCTGGTGGCGCGGGGGGGGCGTGGCCTCCAAAAAACCCACTCCACCATTGGCTGAACAACACCCAGGGGGCGTGGCCAACCCCCAACCCACCTTCCCTTCCCCATTGGCCGAGAGTCACCACGGGGGCGTGGCCTCCCCCAAACCCTCCTCCCCATTGGCCGGGCAACCTCAGGACGGATCCCTATTGGCTGAGCAGCCCCAAAGGGGCGTGGCCTCTCCCAAACCCTCCTCCCCATTGGCCGAGCAGCCCTGGGGGGGCGTGGCCAACCCCCAAACCACCTTCCCTTCCCCATTGGCCGAGCCGCCCCAAAGGGGCGTGGCCTCCCCCAAACCCTCCTCCCCATTGGCCGAGCGGCCCCGTGGGGGCGTGTCCCCGCCCCGGGACGGTTCCCCATTGGCCGAGTGGCGCCTCTGGGGTTACCTGTGGGACATTTTGGGGGCCCTGAGTCACCTCCACGCCCGGAACTGGGCCCACCTGGACGTCAAACCCGACAACGTCCTCCTCGACCCCCGCGGCCGCTGCCGATTGGCCGATTTCGGGACGGCCACGCCCCCCGGGGAGGGGGAGGGGCTCGGGGGAGGGGACCCCCGTTACGTGGCCCCCGAGGTGCTGGAGGGGTCGGGGGGGCCCCCGGGGGACGTTTTCAGCCTGGGGTTGTCCCTGCTGGAATTGGGGGGGTCCCGGAGGCTCCCCGGGTGGGGGGAGGGGTGGAGGAGGCTGCGGAGCGGGGGAGGGGCCGAGGGGGAGGGGCGGAGCCTCCCCCC